ACTTACGATCAGGAGGCCTGCGCAATGTAGCGTGGATGGCGCCATAACATGTTAAAAAACCCCTCAGAACGCCGTAGAACAAGAGTCACCCGAAGGAATATTATTCAAACATGATAGCTGTGAGGGTGGGATTCAATCCCCTTCACTTTGCCGGCAAACTTTTCCAACAATTTTTGGTCGGCAGCTATGTAAATTTGAGCAATTTCGTCTGAACTACGATAGAATACACCAAAGGGAACTCAGAGTAGTACATATCGCGGTCTTGCTGACTATGTGGCAGGAGATATGAACATCGAAGGTACGCCAGGAATGATGAGGATTATTCTATCTTTTTCGTTTCCTGGCTAACCTCGACCCATAGTGCAAAACTAAATATCGAGATGCTACGGCGATTGTTTTCGAATATGGTAAGCCAGACCTGTTCATAACCTTCACTTGCAATCCGAGGTGGAGGGAAATCGTAGAACAACTGAGTAGAGGCCAATTATATTCCGATTGGCCTGACATTGTTGCTCGCGTGTTTCATATTGAACTGCAGGAGCTATACACAGATCTCTTCAAGCGTAATATACTTGGAACTTTTATCGCGCACATAAGTGTAATGGAGTTTCAGAAAAGAGGGCTTCCTCACTGTCATATTTTGCTCACGCTAGCTGCAGAGGATAAGCCGAGAAACGCTACTGAAGTGGATGCTGTAGTGCAGGCTGTCATACCTGATCCAGTAACAGAATATCGGCTTCATGGAATTGTTACAGCTTGCATGATGCATAGGCCCTGTGGTTTGGAAAACCCAACCTCGTCGTGCATGGTAGACGGCCAGGGTTCAAAAAATTTCCTAAACCATCCAGGGAGACCACAAACATAGAGGTAGACGGCCATCCAGAATACAGGCGATCGATCGATGAGAGGACAGTGCAATATGGTAGCACAACGCTTGACAACAGACCTGTAGTACCGTATAGTAAATGTCTAGCGCTTGGGTATAATGCCCATTTGAACGTTCAGATCTGTGCTATGATTCACGCAGTTAAATATATGTACAAATACGTATACAAGGGGCCAGACAGAGCGGCGTTACGTTGATTAGAACAAATGGGCATAATGGGGTTTTAGCAATAAACGAGATTGATGCATTTGTCAATGCCAGATATGTGTGTGCTCCGAAACCTATGCATAGATTGGTTGGCTTCGACCCCCATTACAATCGCATACCGTTTACCGGTTGCAAGTGCATTTGCCAGAATGTGAGTGTGTTGTCATTCAGAGTGGACAAGGGGGAGAAGCTCTTCGTCGTGCTGCAGAAAGAGACACGATGCTAACAGCGTATTTCAAACTCAACGCGGAACATGAAGCCGCGTTCGGAGCTGGAAATGCACCACGAGGTGAGGTCGATGCTCGGACATCACTCTATGTTCAGCTGCTGAAGCACTTCACATTCGATCAGCGAACAAAAAAGTGGACCATCAGAAAGAAGCAAAGTCGGCATTTAGGGAGAATGTACACAGCAAACCCACTGCACTCTGAGCGCTACCGTCTTCGAATACTCCTCCTAAATAGAAGTGGAGCCAAGACATTCGATTAGCTGGAGACTGCGAATGGTGTTATTCGTAATAGCTTCAAGGAAGCAGCAAA